CCTGAGGACAGCATCACCTGAGTTTTGTTGGCTGGTAGCTTCTGGGAGGAACCAGTAGGAAACTGGAAGTTGGGCGGAGGAAGATCAAGGTATTTCTTTCCCATTTTTTTTCCCAATGCCTATTTCTCACAGTACCTACATGCTTCCATAATTACAGTCTCCTCTGTCCTCCCCCACTCCAGTTCCCAATGAGTTCAATAATACCATTTTCTCTCTTTATGGTTCCAATCACAGAGATTCTGCTGGCTTCTTGAGCTTGCTGGTCTGGGAGCATCACATCATCCTGTCTTTCCCCTGCAATACAGTCCTGCCCCTACAGGTTACCCTTCATTTACATCTCTTCATTTGAACCATATGAAGAAAATGATTGTTTTTGTTTTGTTTTGCTGAGACACTAACTTACATATCTCTTGCCTATTTTTCTATTGGATTGTTGATATTTTCATGTTGATTTATAATTAAAGCAGTTCATTATTCTTTAGAGCAAGAGTTGGCAAACTTTCCTGTAAAGAGCCAGACAGTAAATATTTCTGGATTTGTGGGCCAAAAGATTTCTGTTGCAACTACTTGATTCTGCCACTACTAAGTGAAGGCAGCCACAAACAATATGCAAAAGAACGAGTGTGGCTGTGTTGTAATAAAACGTGATTTACAAAAACACTCAGCAAGCTTGATCTGGGCTTTGGTCTGTAGCTGCCAACCTTTGTGCTAGGAAAATCATTCTTTCTCTTACGATATGAACTGCAAATACTTTTCTCCCAGTTAGTTTTTAACATTTCCTTAGAGGTCTTGCCATGCAAAGTTTTTTTAGAATTTTTATTTTAACACAATGCAATTTATCTACTATTTATAGTTTCTAGTTTCTATGTTAGAGAAGAATTAAGAAAACTATGAGAAAACAAAGATTGTACCTTAAATGAACTTGTTAGCCCAGTTGTCTTCTTAATGAGACCACTATTCTGCCCTCTAACACTCAATTAATAAAACCTGTTTCTTAAGGCAAACCATTCATGGAAGAATAAAGCATAAAATAGAGTCGAAACCTGACTACAGCAGAAGTTTCTACTCCCAAGGTATCCCGGGTACTCTCAGGACATTTGATTTTAGACCTTAAAAACAATTTCTCTCCTTAGTCTCCACTAAGGACTCTAGGAATTAGAAAAAAGTTCCCTTACAACATATTCATGTAAATATTCCAGGAATTTTCCATTCTAGCAGGGCTTGCCCATCCCCAACATTATTCAACATCAGTGAAAGGGTGACATATGCTATACTTGGTATTTCCATTTCAGACCCACACTTTGATTCCCACATGATTCTGCCTCAGGTCTAAGGACTTCAGGTTTAGTTTGTAGTGAATTTAGTTTTCACCTTCTAGAAGTTAAATATCTTTATAAAAATTTTGTAAGTAGAAATAGGAAAAGTAAAACATTACCAATTTAAATACCTGTTATTTACATAAACTAGATGAGGTTTTCTCTGGGTGGAAACTGGACATTCAATTTTTCACTGGGGGCTAGTATTTAAAAGTCATAATGAGTTTTGCTTACTTTCTCCTACTATGGAAAAGAAGACACAGTTATAGGTGAAGGAAAAAAACACAGACTATAGAAATTTGGAGGTTTTGGCATAGATTTGCATCCTGAGAAATACAAATAGCAACAGATAATAGCAATTTGAAATTTTTCACTTGAGTTATTATGAAAAAGGATCCTTGAAATTGTAGACGGCTGCTCTGTCCGTAGCAGAACAAATTTATTCCTAGTTAAGATATGCATTTGCACATATATGTTTTTATTTATATGTTCATTCAGATGTAAACACAGGTATATGCAGACATACACTTACCTCATTTCACCATATTGTCTTTAGAGTTCATATTAGAAAATGCATATTCACCAAAACTAACATAAAAAACTAAAGTAGTAAAGGTAAATATAAGCTTTGGGGGAGAAGAAAGACATGGCTCAACAACTAGTACAACATCTATGACGATCTCAGGCAACTTCTGAAATTCAACCACGTTGTTCCTATACCTGTATTCCTCAAACTGACACTTAAAATCTGGTCAGAGACTTCAAGTCTCCATTTACTAATTGATTCAATAAATTCTACCAAGTATCTCATGTGCAAGGAAGCCACTCGTAACTAGTGACAGTATAGTTCAAAGATCATTTATGTGGAAGTAAAGAAAGGCAAACCATCAAAATAGAAGCCACAATAGAAGTTTTCTCAATTGATTAGGTCATGTTGTAAGGGAGGCAAGGTCAAGGTTCAGTTCTCTCTTTGCCAATTACTTTTATTATATTTCAAAGACACAGGCCTGATTCGAGAGCTCTCCACAGCTTACCATTACATCAAAAGAGATATGAGGAGCTGGGGACGTGGCTCAGTGGTGTAGTTTGCCTGGCATGCACGAGGCTGTGGGTCCAATTCCCAATTCAAAAACAAAAATAAATAAACAAATAAGAGCTATGAGGAAAAAAAGAGTGGCTGAGCCTCAATTCTTTCCAAGTACTGGTGAAGTAATAACATCAATTCAGGGTGGATCAATGTCACTGTCTTAATATAAGTTACACTTACTGTCCAATGTGATCTGTGACTGTTAAAACTAAGACACTTATCCTGGGTAGTATTAAACTGAATTTATTCAGTCAATCTTACAAGATGCTACAGTGAAAGAGTATCAGCTTTTGGAATCAATGTACTCTAATGTTTAATGTAGTGCTCTTTGGATGTTTGCTATATCATATTCTCAGTCAAACTATTATTAAGATACAAAGATTAAAATGGATTTATTGATAAGTGAATTTAATTAGCTCTAAGAAGAGGAATTAAAGAAATAGAAAAATACTGAGAGGAAAGCTTTCTGGCATTGACACCCACCATCCCAGCTTATTCATAAATCACCTACTATGCTTCATGACCATAAATATAAGGATTGCTTCTGTTCATCTTTTTCTTATACAAGTATGATTTTGGGCCTGGAATGGCATTGACCCACTGTTTCATTTCTCTCAAAAGAAATATCCCAATAAAGCTGACACTGCCCTCTAAACACAAATTTCAGTAGGAATTTGCTAAATTACACAAAATCCAGACCCAAAGGGAAACTACCATCTGCATTTAGTCACGCTGGGATGAATTCTTCTGGTGTGAAGGTTTTCAACTAGCTTGTGTTAGACCTGTAGATCTAAACAAAGCTCTCAAGAGCCTCCCCTCAGGTCCAACAGACTGGAACAGCGAGCACAAAGGAAGAGGAATCCATTTGGCAGGTTCCCTCTCTCCTGGCACAACCCAGCAAGAATGTATATAACCTCACCAACACGACTTGCTAAGTTCCTGTGTGTTCTTTCATTTAAAACATGGATTTCATATTAAAATATGTTGAAAACTCCTGTATTCTCTGATTCCTAAGCTCCTATAGAGCTCTAAAATATTATGGTATATAATTCACTGATTCTACTGCATCTTAATGTTTGCTGCCTAGAATTTTGTTTGAAAATCACGTAAAATATTGCACAAATGTCAAAAAAAAACTGGAAGATAGATGATTTTTCTATCTCTGAAGTATAATTGTTAAAGAATGACATGGTAGGACAAACACAGGAACATCTACAATCCTGAAGGTGAGAATAAACTCATACAAAGTGAAAAGATTTTATGTTCTTCACCCTTTCTCCCAAGTGTGTTTTTCAAAATGAAGCCAATATGAAATATCAAAGGACAAAATTTTGCAACTGTTGAAATTAACACATCTTTCTAGAATTGATAATACTAAATTTCTGGTTACTTATTCAGAGTTGAACTTTTCTGTGAGAGAGGAGTATTATATACACATGGCATCTGTGTATGTATCCAGGTATTGCTGGGGCCCTAAGCATGCACACAATAAGCCCCAAAACTATCCGGCACACAATTCAACAATTATTCTGCTCTCTAAATAAGAAATCCTAAAGGCAGAGGAAGCAAGCTATTTATACCAAGTGTGGTCCAATATACTGCATATATCAGAAAAATCATCAGTTCTAGTTCTAGAAGAGAATGAGACAGGTTATAACCTCTTTTGCAGTGAATTCAGATAGTGGTATAGTGTTTGCCTACCATGTGTGAGGCACTGGGTTTGGTCCTCAGCACCACATAAAGATAAATCAATCAATCAATAAAAATTATTGTTTCCATCTACATCTAAAAAATTTTTTTAAAAAGAAAAAAAGTATGACCAAATACATATGCTTTAATCATAATTTACATTCCCTAGACAAAACTACCAATAAGAATGAGGCACTTTGGGCAAACACTTTCTCTAATACCCTCCACCACGAGACTGGTTTTATTCTACTCATTTCACAGCTAAAGAAACTGGGCCCAAAAGAAATCTGTCCTAGGTCTTATGACTAATAAATAACACTGAGAATGTGACCCCTAAGTCCATGTGATTCCAATGCCTGTGTTTAAACTATAGAAGGCTATATACAGAAAATAGGTAGCCACATCCCTCTAAACTCTGCCATTACATAGATCATACATTGTATTTCTGGCCATCACCAGAGCTAACTAATATTTATAAGATGAAGCCCTATATTCACAGATATATAGTAAATATTGTGACAATTGGGAAAGTTATGACAAGAAAAACGTAGGGTAGAGTGAAATTCACAGGAAATTTACCAGAAAACGGTAAGGAATATATATAAATATGGCCCAAAGACATTATATATAGGGGGTGGGAGCACGTGCTGAGGCAGGAGGATTGCAAGTTCAAGGCCAGCCTCAGCAACGTAGTGAGAACCTATCTCAAAATTTAAAAAAATAAAAAAAAGAACTGAGGGTGTAGCTCAGTAGTAAAGTATCCCTGGGTTCAATCCCCAGTACCAATAAATAAATAAATAAATAAAGGGCTGGGGGTATAGCTCAGTGGCAGATTGTTTGCCTAGTGTACACAAGGCCCTGGGTTCAATCCCTAGCACTACAAAAAATTTTTAAAATAACCATACATTGTGTTCACTTTGGCAGCACATTTACTAACTGAAATGATATAGAGAAGATTAATATGGTCCCTATACAAGCAGGATATGCAAATTTATAAAGTGGTCAACATTTTTGTTACAGTTAGAAGCAAGAAGTACTGGTGTGCTGTTGCACAGGAGTGTGACTACAGATAACAATAAGGAACTGTAAATTTCAAAAAGCTAGAAAAAAGTATATTAAAAGTTTTTACCATAAACATGATTAAATGTTCAAGGAGATAAATGTTTAACCTCATTTAAAAATTACACAATACATACATGTATCAAAACATCACATTATCCCATTAGATATGTACAAATATGTATTTGTTAAGTATCAGTTAAAAATAAATTTAAATTTTTAAAAAGAACGATACACTCAGACAAATTATAAATTCCTAACTGAAAATTAAGCAACAAGGAGTATATCGGATTCAACTGCTGCACACGTCAAACCATAAAATATTCTATAGTAATTAATTTTTGTTCTTTGTGAATAGTGTTCAATCATCTACAATACTTAATGATTTAACATTATCAACGAGCCAGTTCTACAATAGGCACCTTAATGTCTTAAGTTAAAAAATGTTTTGCCTATCCCTCTAGAAGAAACCAAAGCTGCATTCATCTATTGTTAGTTTATGCTTTTTTCTTTTCATAGAAACCCTTTTCTGACAATTTATCTCTTCCTTTATTTATGCTTTTTCTTTTGCACAGAAATCCTTTTCCTCCCTTTTCTGGCAATTTATCTCTTCCTTTATCTTAAAGATTGAGCCTCAAATTCAATTGTTAAAAGCCTTTCTAAACTCCATTCAGTTTGTCTTTCCCTCCTGTCCCCAGGAACTCTACATTTACCTTTATGCAAAGTCTTAACCACCTATTTCCCTGGCATCCCTTTTGCTGAATTAAGTTCTTTCGGGCTATTTCTGGGCCTCTGAATGGTACCTGCTCTATTAATAAATTATTCTCTGGAATAAATAAAAAATCTCATGAATCAAATGCCCAAATAAAATTTACAAAGTGCATGGGGAAGTTTCTCTCTCTCTTTTCTCATTCTCCCTACTTTAACCTCACCCTTAAATACATGCAAATAAATACATACAATCACACACACACACACACACACACACACACACACACACACACCACATTCATTCTGTCCAGTCTATGGAGTAACTGCCTTCACTATCTTTAATATCAAAATTAGACAAAGGAGAATAAAAAACTTGAGATTTTCTAGTAATTCACAAAAATTACACAATATGCTAAAGTCTTGCCATGTATTGTAGCCATTCAATTAAACCAATATTCCCTAAGGACACATTATTATGTAAAGAACTACAAGTAAACATTTAGTCACTCATGTATTCTATATACAAAATGCTTGAATAAACACAGAGATATCCAGAAAGTTCCAGAAAAGAAGAGTTAAGTACTGCATATATTGAAATTATATCTTGGGATAGGAGCAACATTACCAAAACAACAATTATTTTAATTTGGGGGATGGCCTGAAATACAGAGACTAACTCAATAGGATACATGTGTGGTTCTCATTCTTTGGACAAATAATGGGACAAAAATTAAACACACATGTTCTCCTGCAGGGCACAAGTTTGTGAGAAAGAATCAGGGCAGACTTGGAGTGAGATACTAGATGATAATTTGATAAATGCTGTTTACCTTTAAAATGTGATTAAACAGCATTTATAATGAACATGCTTAGAAAATGATGAATAATGTATCATATGTGCAGTAAAGGATAATGGGAAGTGATTGTCTGCGGGGGTAGTTTTTCCCTGGCACTGGCCCAAAGCCATTACAGTGTGTTTTCCCATTTCTTATGAACACTGGAGTTAGAACTCTGCCAGAGGCAAAAATCCTGAGTACAGTGCAGACTACAGAAAGATTCTTACCCACAACTTCTGGGATCTTCAGGTAAAGGCAAATCAGTTTGAACACTCATTTAGAAATAGTCAGCATTAACTATCACTGATGCAGTATCCTTAGGTGGTTGAGATGAGGAAGTCCTTCTAGGTGTGCTCTGCTATTCTCCAGGACTTCAGTGAGATTCTTTTATAACCTGTCTAGTCTTCATTGTAAAAATGGAAAGAAATCATTCCACAAAATAACATATATTCAAATTTTCTTCTAAACCAATAGTATCATAAAAAATTAAATGCATATATACTCTGGGCTGATTCACAGTGTATATTTCTAAATTAAGAGGAATTCATTGTGCTGGAAAAAACATAACTTGGATTTAATTTTTAGCACAAATTATGACTCATGGTCCAATCTATAGGAAATAACTTCAGCAAGTTCATACCCATACATACTGACCTAACATGTTCTGGATGAAGACACTGCTGTTCATACTATAATGAAAATTAGAACTCCATGTAAAACAGATTATTATAGGATGTCTACTTTGTCTTCAGAGCAATGTACACAAGCCAGTTGACAATTCTAGTATAAAGGACTTAATATAAATGGGTGGCATAGAGTCAAAATTTGTAGGTATATAAAAATAGAACTTATTTAGAGAAGAGTGGGGCTCTGTCTCATGGTTGGCAGAGAGGATAGAGGTCACTGAGAACAAAGCACATGCAAACTAACTTCACAGGACACAATTTTATGAAGCATTTCCTACTTTGAGCAAAGATGTTGAAGAGGTAATGAGGTCCCACATTTACATATAACAAAGGATGTCTAGTGAAAATACTTAAATAAAAAGATGAAGTCTGCTTAAATATGATAAGGAGAATTTTGAAAAATTCAATAGCAAATATAAGGCAGAGTTGTAAAGTGTTAAAGCCATTGTTATTAAAATGAGATGTTTTACAGGGTAACTATCATTAATTTAAATGTTGCTTTAAATACTCTGCCTGATATAATAAGAAATTACTTAAAACATATACATGACATGTACATATACATATACAGGAAGCAAATATCTCTACTTGCAGATAAGATTATATATTTTGGTGCTGAGGCTGTGTCTCAGCAGTAGCACAATTGCCTGGCATATGTGAGGCACTGGGTTCGATTTTCACTACCACGTATAAATAACTAAAGGTCTGTCAACAACTAAAAAAATTTTTTAAAAAAGATTATATACTTTGAAAAATCAATCTCTAATAAAAATACTAAAAGTAATAAGCAAATTTATTCACATGAATAGATGAAAATAATTATGTAAAAATCACTACCTTTATACTGAAAATAAATAGCAAATGAAAACCACTTAATAAAAATTAGCAATACATAAATAGGATAAATTTAACACAATATAACTTTAACATAAAAAATAGATATTATTGAAGAATATAAAAAATACAGGAACAAACAGATAAACACATGTTCCTATAGAGGAGACTAATCTCCAGTTCTAGTTGCAGATCACGAATTGCCAATGTATGTGTGTGGTGACTTCATTTGCAGATTCTGAAAAGCATGCAGTACATACTTAATAAAATCAGCTGAACAGGGCTGGATTTGTGGCTCAGTAGTAGGGCGCTTGGCAAGCATGCATGAAGCACTGAGTTCAGTTCTCAGCATTGCATATAAATAAACAAAATAAAGTCTATTGACAACTAAAAACTATTTAAAAATCAGCTGAACTGGGCTAGGACTCTATGTATCATGTTAATTGGGAAACAAATTAGCACTTAATGTAAAATGGGCAGAAGATATAAAGCCACACTATAAATTGACATTTTCTAATAATAAGCCTATGAAATTCCTCTCACACCTACTCAATGAATGGCTCACAGATCCTTAGGAGAAGTTAGAATTACTGCATAACCCATCTAAATGTTTCAGGAATTAATTACCACTTAAATATCTCACTGGTAAATAGTGGCCTCAATCAAGATGAAACTATACAAATTTTCAGATAAAGGTGGTATATACTGTACAATGTCAAATAGAAGTTGATTATAATATCAGTAAAGAAAACAATATTAGAGAGCAAGTAGTCAATGTTTTAATACAAGTAACAGACAGCCTTCCACAGAATATAGATTATAGCCCAAAATTTTAAGACAGTACTCTTTTCATTTCAAAATGAACGAAGAGATTTACTGTGGGCTTTCATTAGACCCAAACTCATGTCTAGAATTTTCTTTCTTACTATAATTAAGAGCATCATCTGAAAGTCCTGAAGTAGTAGCCCTATCATGATTTCCAGCCAGGCAGGCTCTCACACACACAAAAACACATGCATACAGATACAAAGAGATAATTTTTTGCTATGAATTCAAAAAGGATCAATGTACCATATACTTATCAAGACAGTTACCAGATAAAGAAGAAGCCCTGGTGCATAGGAAGCAGGACAACAGATGAGGGTCTCAAAGCCATGCCAGATTGGGTCACTGTTCACCTAGAATAATCTAAGGTAGTCTACCAAGAGGAACAGTATTAATCACTAATGATGAAGGGAGCAAAAACATGTGAATGAAGAAGTGTTTCTGAGTGTCAGGTCCAGTGTACAGAATCATAAAAAGCAAAAAGAATTCCTAGGATAGATATGAAGATCAGGAGTTAAGAGCTATGACTACAGCAAAATTAGTCTTTGTAACTAATTTAGAATGCAAACTGTGGACAGAGGTTGTTGTAGGCTTTTTGTTATGTTGTACCAGTTGCATGTTGTGTCTGTATGATTACACAGCTGCACACATGTATGTAAACAAACCCAGAGGTAGCAAGAGAGGGGCTGGTTTCATGACTTAAAGAAGTTGGGTAAAACTAATGTTTCAACTAAATATTAACCATGAACCTAGATTTTAATACTGTCCCATACGGAGTAACAATTCAGAATTGCTTAGGACCAACAGTTAAATGGACAAAATAAATTATCCAAGTAGAAAGAAAACTTAAATGTCATTAGAATTATATAATCAAAGCTATAAGAGTAAGCAAATTGAAGACCACTGATATACCTTTATTCAGAAATAGAAAATTATGAAGAGAAAGACATCTTAAGTACAATTCTTTGGAAAGATAAGATTTTTTCCCTAACCGCAGCTTAATATTAATTTTTAAAAACATAACAGGCCAGGGAATTACAACAAAAGTCGGTCATCATCTAA